GCCAGGCGGCGGGGCTGGAGGCAGCCTCGGGTGTGGGTTGTGGTCGGATGTGCAGGGATGGCTCGCCGGAGAGGTGCAGGGATCCAGCTGCCGTGCAGAGGCTGCAGCTGCAACCGCCCTGGGGTTCGGGAGCTGGCTCAGCCCCATGGAGGTTATCTGCTCTCCAGCCTGCTCCACACTGAGCAACTGCAAGGCCAGAGGAAGGACCTCCTGAGATTCCCTGCAGTCCACGGAGCTCCGAGACCAGGGCTGTGGCTGCTCTTGTTGCAGCAGCTCCTCCCTGCATCTCTCCTTGATGTTTCAGCCTGAACTAATTTGAGCTGGGAGCATACAGGGACATCTTTTGGGGCCATAGCTGTTTTCATGGGCCATTTCCAGGCCTCCTGATTAATGACAGAAGTCAGAGAGACTTCAGGAAAATGGAAAATCCCAGAGAGAGAGTGATGCTCTCCTGAGATCGGGATCTGCAGGCAGCAGCTGGCCAGCTGCTCTTCAGTTCTTCCCCTGTGTCTCACGCCACCTCCTCATCAATAGAAACTCCTCTCCAAAGCCACTCTGTGCCTGCCTCTGCCATTAGTGGGAGCATTTGCAGCCTGGTCAGCGTTTTTGATATGTAATTTAATAGAATAAATATTTGGCTGGATGCGCTTCCTCTAAAACCATCTCCCTGGGACAGCCGTCAGCTTGGGTGCAGCAGACCAGCTGGGCTGGGCTGGACGCAGGAATTATTTGCCTGAGCACGTTTTCTATTCCTTGCAGCACTGGGAAAGGCAGGGGAGTGGAGCAGATGCAGAGACGCTCACCATGCTCCCTCCTTGCCGGAGCTGCAGTTTTCCTAGTGGCAGATCCCAGCCGCAACCAATCAGTGTTAGCAGCTCCTGGTGCTCCTGCCCTGGTTGCAAGGCTGACTCTCAGCCCTGATCCCATCACCCTGGGGGGGTCACACACTATTTCTGTGAAGCTTTGCATCCTCCCCTCCCACCCAGGGGGCATTGGGGCAGAGTCCTGGCACTTTCCACAGAGGATGCGTGTTCCCTGTGCAGAGTCGGAGGGATGAGACCAGCACCTGTGCTGCTGCAATTCGGGACTCTTCCAGCTGTACAAGGGCAAGCCCAAATTGGCTCCCACAGTCTCCCAGCAACATCAGCACCCCCAAGCAGCCTGGGAGCCCCCCCGCCACAGTGCTGCCATAGGCATGAACCAGCCCCACCACCACCAACCATGTCCCAAGGCTTAAGTTCCCCACGGGCAGGATTGTCCCTGCCCACCCTGTCCAACCCTCTCAGAGCCACCTTCAGCTCGCTGACTCCCTCCTCTTCCTCACGCCATGCCACAGCGCCTGGATAAAGCTCCTGGAGGCAAACCAGGCAACACGTCAGGGCTCTTCAGACATTAATTCTGGGTCTTTTGAGGAGCCGAGCAGAGGGATGCTGGTTTAGTTGCCAGAATTGTGGTGAGGACTTGAGATGCAGCAGTAAAGCCCATGGTGCTAGGCAACATCCCAGGGCTGAGTCTTCTCCAGCCACAGCTCCTCCGGGAGGGCAAATGCCATGGCTGTGAGACCACAGACCTCGTGATGGGTCTCAGAGCAAGGGGTGAGGCTGAGCTGATGTCAGGCCCCAATCCTCCCACCAGCGTTTCCCTGGGTTTCTTGGCACACTGAGCAGGAGCTGGACAAGCAGCTGGATGGTCTGGGAAGTGCTGTGCAAGCTCACAGGGCACAGTGAGGCTGCAGGATTTCTCATTTGGCCTTTCTGCTTCTGAAGTGGTGTGGATCCAGCCAAATCACTCCAGAAACTGAACTGCAAAGTGAGGAATTGCAAAGTGCAGGCTGGCCCTCAAGCTATCTCCTTGTCCTACCTACTAGCTCAACTGTACAACAACCCTTTAAGTCACAGCCTTGCTTTACTGCAATCCAGGCTTGGCAGAAATCATAGCATCTGCCAGGCCTTTGAGATAGAAGAAGGATTCCTCCACTTGCCCTTCCCTAAGGAATCTGGTAGCACCCAGATCCCCATCTGGAGCACAGATCACATGTGTGTAAATTGAGACTAAGGTCTGATACTACTTAGAGTGCTTGAAGTCCCACCCTGGCTCACGTGTTTTGCTGAATCCATGCCTGACTTCAGTGTCAGGAGATCTGGTATAGCTTTTGGCGTAGCTAACCCTGGATGAAAGCCTCCACAGCCCCATAGTGTGCTATACAAAATTCTGACTGTCCATATTCATTCCCAGTGGGCAACAGCTCAATCTTTACAACAGATGAGCCTGTTATTTGCAGGGTAAATCCTCCAGCCTCTCTGGAGTAGAGGTCCAGTACACAGGACCTTGTCAAAAGCCGCCTTTTTCATCAAGCCCTTCGTGACAGGGCCACATGTGCTGCAGCCCTGCCCTGACAGGTACCAAGAGACAGACCCTTCCCAAGCTCAGTGGAGACTCTTTGGACTTGAAAACCACGTGGGCTGGCCGTCCAAATTGTGCCTAGAAAGTCCATGGTCTCATGGCCAAGAGCATGTATCATCCTTTCACAGCCTCCAGCAAGGTTGGGGAAGGAGAGGGCAGCTGGGAGCTTACTTTTTTGGAGAAAACTTTTGGGACCGATTGGACCTTGACTGGCCATGACCAAACCCAAGATGGACTCCCACAGAGCCAGGACAGCAGGAGCAGGGAGCTCCCAGCTCTGAAGATGCCTCCTTCCCTGGTCCAGCACAGGGTCTAGTGGCTCAACTTGGTTTCAGTCCTGTCTCATTGCCAGCAGAAGAATGGCCTGTTCTGGGCAAGCTGCCATAACTATGGGAGCCACACAGCCACACTCCAGGATGCATGTGTGCTGGGGAGATGCAAGGGGAGTTCAGACCCTCTGCCCCACTGTGAAAGTATTGCAGGCACTAAAGATACAATGATGGATGGTGCTGAGCAATGTGCATTCATTATTGCAGGTAGATTATGCCAAAGGCCTAGTGGTACCTCCTGGGACAGCTGCCTGAGATCCTCCCTTGGGTCTCCCAGGGTGCCATGTGGGAGCAGATCCCAGGACTGGGGTTTCCATGGGCACCTGGGGAGAGGGGAACCAAATCCTGCAAACCAACAGGTTCTACTGACCCACAGACAAGACATTTCTCTAATCTATGCCTCATTGTCCACAGCCACAGAAAGCATGGGTCATCCAGAGGGCTTGGTATGGCTATTTTTAACTCTTGAAGAGCTGGATCCAATTGTCCTGGGGCTGTGAGCAAAGAAAGGTGCTATGTGCTCCAAAAGTATTGCCAGAATAGCTCAGACAGTGGAAAGAGGGGAAGACCCCAAAGGTATGTAGCAGGTTGGTGACAGTCAGCACTAGCACTGAGGTCTCCTGTCTGAGCCATCAGGCTTAGCAAAACATAGGGCGGCTCCTACTTCACAGAAGAAACTGGACAACCCATGCAGGGTTCAGACTGGCCTCTTTGTCTGTGATTAGCTTCACAAGGGCTGAACAAGGTCACCCCACCTTCCTCACGGAAGAGCAATAGACTGCCGTTTCCCAGGAGGGCAAACCACTGTCACCAGAAATGGTTCCACAAGGCAAGGAAGACAGGAAAGGAGCTGGGGCTGCCTTAGGAAGAAAAATCCTGCAGAAGGACAGATGCGTTCCTTTCCCAGACATATCTCCAAAGACATATTAGCACAGGGGATGGGGTCTAATGCTCAGCCTGCTCCAGCTCTGAAGCACATTCTGCCAGGAGAAGGTGAAGATGGTAGGGAGGATGGGCTTTATCCACCAAGAAAAGGAGAAGAGTTGCCCTCTATGGAAAACAAAGACACAAGTGAGCATTTGGTTTGAAGATAACCAGCCATGTGGCATAATCTACAGGGATGTCCCTTTTCATTTGTTCCCTAGGTAAGTGCTTGGAGTAACTGTCCTGTCCTTTTTGTCCCCAGTGTGTGGCCGGCCGGCTCGTCCTCTGCCTGGGATCATCAAGCGCATCATTGGCGGGCGAAATGCAGAGCCTGGCTTCTTCCCCTGGCAGGCCCTGATTGTGGTGGAGGACATGTCCCGGGTGCCCAATGACAAGTGGTTTGGCAGCGGGGCCCTGCTCTCAGATTCCTGGGTGCTGACAGCCGCCCATGTGCTCCGCTCCCAGCGGCGAGACAAGACTGTCATCCCCGTCTCCAAGGAGCACGTCACTGTCTACCTGGCCCTTCACGATGTGAGGAACAAGATGGAGGCTGTCAACCGGACAGTGGAGAGGATCATCCTCCACGAGGAGTTTGACATCCAGAACTACAACCATGACATCGCTCTGGTCAAGCTGAAGGAAAAGGTGACCATGGGGAACTACGTCATGCCTGTCTGCCTGCCCCAGTTTGAGCACGAGCTGGAGGGGCCTCACCCTAACACGCTGGGGCTGGTGGCTGGCTGGGGTATCTCCAACCCCAACATCACAGTGGATGAGATCATCAGCTCGGGCATGAGGACACTGTCTGACATCCTGCAGTACGTCAAACTGCCGGTGGTGCTGCACGCAGAGTGCAAGACCAGCTATGAGTCGCGGTCGGGGAACTACAGTGTAACTGAGAACATGTTCTGTGCTGGCTACTACGAAGGTGGGAAGGACACTTGCTTGGGAGACAGTGGAGGAGCCTTCGTCATCCAGGATCCGGGAACCCGGAGATGGGTGGCCCAAGGGCTGGTCTCATGGGGTGGCCCGGAGGAGTGTGGCAGCAAGCAGGTGTACGGTGTGTACACCAAAGTCTCCAACTATGTGGACTGGGTGGAGAAAAAAACGGGCTCCTCAGAGAGATGGACATTTCTGGACCCGGAGCTGGAGAGATGAGTGACTAAGCAGCCTGGTGCCGCAGCTCCCTTTCTTCTTGTTGTTGTTTTTTAATAGGCTCCAGACTCTGGTCTTTCGCAAGCAGTAGCCACGATGCTCAGCACACACCAGGCCTTTGCCAGCCCTCCACGTCATTTGTTTCGCTTGGTCCCACGTCCCTTCTCTTGTGCTCTTAGGAAAAGCTTGCTAGGGAGCTGGGGAAAGGGAGCGAAAGCCGACATCTCAGCCCGCATCCTCAGCTTGTGCTGCCCATTTCCAAACCTCACCCATACTCCCATGGAGCCCCCCTCCAAGCCAGACAAAGGCACAGCGATGGAGGCAGAATTTCCCTGCCACCAAAGCTTTGGGCCATGCACAGAGAATTGCCTCCATCCCCAGGGCTCTCCAGCCAGATCTTCCCTTCAGACAATGCAACTGCAGGAGCTACAGAGGCTACGGACAGCGTCGGAAACCCAGCTGGGCAGGCCTGGACCTCACAGGTCCCCCACCTTTCCTGTGTAAGGAGTAGTGAGAGAACCCTGGAGTTTGCTACTATTTTTATTTGTAAACAAATGTCCCTGCCTGATGGCATCTCATGTGATGTCCACCTGTCCCCAGGAATGTAAGGATGCATCCACATTAGCCCTAAACTTCAGCCACGCTGGAAAGCTAATGGCTGCCAAGACAGCACCAACCCAAATGGGCTACCCTTACTCCACCATGTGGGATGGGTCCCCCACAGAGGACACAAGGACAGGGAGCAGGGTTTGGACTTAGTGTCACCCTTACCTCCAACCACCAAAACTCCTCTGACCCTCCATCACCTCAAGCCCTCTCCAGTCCTCCCCCCAGACTAGCTCTTGGAATGGTCTCCAGACACAGCAGACCTCCCAAGCAAAGTTTTCCAACACACAAGATAGTATCACATCTGCTGTACCTAAGCAATACATATTTTCAGCAGAATAATTTTAGATTCCTTCTTGGGGTTTCACCTTTTCTTTAGGGGCCTGGGTAGTCCTGCATGACAGTGCATTCATTCTTGCAAGGACCTAGTCACTGTTAAACTGCTTTTAAGGCCATTGATTTGGCTGATTTAGAGGTTACTGATGGTGTTCAGTGTTTGTTCATGGCTCTTCTGGCCTATTGCAGGTGTCCAAGTCATTCTAGACTGACCCCAACTCACCTAACACACCAAAAGTATTTTCATCTTCCCAGCCTCCCTCCATGGCCCATGCAGACAAGTAAGCCCCACCAAGGAACAAGGTCAGGTGAGCTTACCTTCCTTCCTTCAGCGGGGACACCCTCTCCTTCACTTGCCAGCAAAGTCCTCCTATAGCTGTAAGCAACACGCAAAAATTGCCTGCTGTCCTCTCTGTGCGCCTGTAGCCTCCTTTGGGCCTGTCCTCCTCCTCCTCCTTTGGTTTTGCCGCGCAAGGAAGGAGGCAACAGTGAATGAGCCACTCTGCCATTTTGCTATGGTCCAGAAAGCCATTTGTAGAGCATGTAGAGGAGCAGAAGGCCTAAGGAAGGTTGAACTTGCAGACACGCTAAGAACTGTACTCTTGGCTATGTCATGTAACTGCAAGGTATTTATATATATATATATATATTCCTTTTTTGATACTACATTCTGTAAAATATCCAACGTCATGTAAGGATGGTTCTGTGTAATCTTCCTCCTGAGAACAAAATAAAACTTTGATATGTACTGAGTTTGTGCCCTGAGGCTTTTATTCCAAAGAGGGACACAGTTAAGGCTGGTTACCAGTCTCTGCCATGCACACCTGCGCTCCCAGGGGGATTCTCACACTGCCCCTCTCCCCGACGGCTGCTCAGCCGTGGCCCGTGCAGCTTCATGGGCTGAGACAGACCCTGACCAGCCATGAATACAAATTGTAAAAAATGGCAACAGATGACATCCTGCCCTTCAATTATTTATAGCCTTAGCACATCACTGAAGACAGGGGCAGTGGCAGGAGGAGAGTGCAGCAACCTGTATGCTAGGAATAGCAATTAAATCTGGACTCAACTAACAAGTGGAAATAATAACAGGTATGTTACTTTTACTTTGAAAGGGGCGAAAAATCAGCCCATACCCACTAGCTGTTGGACTGAGAGAGCACATCTTCACAGCAGAGCCTCTGCAGCAAACACAGATGGGAGCTGAGGCAGGGACACAGCTCTGCCAGGCATCTCTTCTCCACATCACAAGCTGTGAAAATCCAGCCTTTGGAGACAGCTTAAAATCATGGGCACTGTTTCCTACCATGTGCCTGGATCCAGGGCTGAGAGCTGGGTTATAGATCCCTATTTTCCTATGGCACAAAACCGAAATAACAGCACTGGGCTCCTCTGGGTTGGCAGTGGGGAGGAGGGTGGAGGGTCTGGCTCGCTTGCTTGCGGGTCTGCTAACATGTACAGAGACATCAGAGGGATGAAGGGGAGGAGAGAGAAAAAGCAAAATCAAGGCATGGTCCCCTGAGCATTAAACCATCAGCTGTAGGATCTGAGCCTAGACAGCTCCAAGGCAAGTTAAAAAATATTGCTGCCCTATAATAGATCAGTCATAAACACAGACTCTCCTCCGCCTCCCATTGATAGCTCTGCCGGGAAATCCCTGACACAATCCAGCCTTCTCCCCATGCTTACCAAGCCACCGTGCTGCCGAGTGCCAACCCCTCATGCCCCATGGCCACTGCGGCTGGCTACAAGAGGGCTGGGAACAGGCAACAGAGGAGAAAAGCGAGAGCAACAACAATGGGCTTTGCATTTGCTGGCACCTCGTGACCTGCCAGAGTGGTGAGAGCTTCTCTCCAGGGAGACAGGCGCGGAGACAGCAATTTATCAGTCTGGCTCTGGTGAAAGGCCAGCTAAACGTTCCTGGGTGAGGCTTGCCCATCCTTGGCTGCGTGTGAGTGCCAGGCATGAGCAGAGAGTTGGCTGCAGCAGAGCCCAACCTCAGACAGACCAGGGGGGACAGCCGGGACCTGCCCGGGACTCATGGGGAGAGAGAGCATCCTTCAGCCCTCAGCCACCTTCCCCAGGTTGGGCTTGCTGTCCCCATGCTAGCTGGGGGGCTGGCTACTGCTCACCATCCCTAGGGGCTGAGCTGAGCTGTGGGGGCTTGCTCTGGGCTCCAAAAGTGCCAAGAATCATGAAAGCAGCACTTTGAGGGCAGTTTGCTAAGAAACAAGTGGGAGATGGGCACAACTGCACATCAGAGAGGGGTATCCTGGAAGGAACCCAAAAATGAGGCCATGGCTAAGCCCATGTGTGCACGGGTGTCTCTGAGTAATGAGGAGGGGATGAAGGGGCTGCATGGTGGCAGGGACATGCACACATAGCACGAGGAGACAGGCAGACAAGCAGGCAGCGGTGGGAAGGGGACCAGGGAAAAAGCAGCATATGCATGCAAGGCTGTGGGTGGGGGAGCACAGGGTGTGTACAGAGGGCATTGCAGGGGGTGAGGCATGGCTTTGCCCTTGTAAAAGAGCAGAGAGACCCAAGCAAGAAAACAAGGACCCCCGCAGGGATGTGGTCTCCATCAGAGCTGGCTTCCCAGGCAGAGGCGAGGGAGTTCCCCCTCAGCAGCTGGGTGGCTGGGGAGGCTGCAGACGGCCAGACACGATGACTAGGGCTGGGAAAACCTCAGCATGGAAAGAAGAGGGCTATGGGCAATGGCAGCAAGAAACTTGGCCGTGTCTCTGCTTCATGATATAACGCCAGCGGGGAGAGGGCGGGCTGCTCCCAGCACAGGGAGAGCTGCGCAGGAGGGAAGGGAGTTGGTCCAGGCTGCAGGATCAGCATCCTCCGCAGCAGAGCCACTCAGCCCTGGCCACCCCAAACAGGGAGATACCTCCTGCAGAAAGACAGGTCCATTTAGATATGAGACCCTCTGGGTCCCAAGCACTCCCTCAGCCCTCAGGCTGGTCCCCAGCCCTGCTGCCATTGACACCACTGGCCCCAGGCAGAGCTGGGAGCCAGGAGGAGTTTGAGGCCCCGTGCCTTGCATTGCACGGGCATCTCCAGTGTTCCGAGACTGGAAAATGACAGCGAGAGATCAGCTCATCCACAGACCAGGACCATATCCACGTAGGATATGGTTGGGGGGGGACCACGCTACGGGGACATGGCTGGGTACAGGGGTGGGGGGAGGGCTTCCCCCATCTGGGGACAGCTGGCCCGTCCCAGTGCTGGAGGGTCACTGGTCCTAGTGCTTCCCAGTGCAGTGCCAGAGATCTCGCAGCTCCATCTGCTGGCTCCACGGCCAGGGCTGCGGAGCAAGGGAGGTGCTGGGGAAGGGGGGACAGCTGGTGGGATGAGCAGGACAGAGCACTTAAGAAACAAAATCCACATGGACCCTGGATTACTCAGGGTTTTCTTGTTATTTTGATTTTTTTAACCAATAGCCTCCAGGTCACATGTATGAAAATACGGGAGAACCTTACACCAGCAAAAAAAGCAAACCCACAGTGAGCAGTGTAAAAGGCCCTGCAGGACACAGCAGGGAGGAGAGCACCCGGGAAGCTGCGTAGCCAGGGCTTGAAGCTGTACGAGCTGCACCGGTGACGCTGCGTTTTGTTAACGCCTTTCCTTCAGCCCATCTTTCTTCCATTAATTCAGTCATGAAATCTTTTCTACCATGTCCATCTTCAGCTTCAAATCATTTGCAAAGTCAGGAGGGGATGGATGCAGCTGCTTCAGCGGCTCTGCAGGTCTGTCCCTCTTTGGACTCGTTTGCCAGACAGCCCAAAAAACTATTTCAGTACGAGGACTAGTCTGTGAGTTGTTCACTTCAGCTCTTAGTACTCCCAGTGAGCAGCAGGTCCCCCAGTGTCTGTGTTTCTGCTCCTTGACCACCCAGGCAGCGTATGAACCCCAGAGAACAGGGCAAAGAGTGAGTGATGCAGCTCAGTTTTGGGGTGTGTTAGAAACCCCCGCCCCACCCCAGCAGCCAGCATCGCAGCACAGTCAGGTGCCTGGTGCCACTAAAGCAGAGCAAACCAGGAAGCTGATGGAATCAATAAAAGTCATTCACCAGCCAGGTGCCCCTGGCCAGCCTCCCTGTGAGAGGTATGTAATAAAAATGGAGAGTACAATGAGGATGGCACAGGCACTACAGGGGGTGATGTCTCCTGAGTTGCTCCTAAACCCATCCGGGGCTTGGCAGTGGGCTGGCAACTGCACACTCGCCATTGGCACCCCGCTTCCCCAGGGGATGGCCATGTCTCCGGGCTTCTCCTGTGGCTTCATGGAGCTGGATTTCCCTCGGCGTCCCCGGTGTCCCCTGTGCATCCCCCAATGTACCCCCAGGTGATGGGCCTTGCAGCTCTTGCTCTTATGGGGCTCACCATGCCCCCCAGCCACAGCCTGGTCCATGTGGACATGGAAGAGGATGACAGCCTGGGCTGAGCTCCACAAAAGCTCACAGCAGGAGCACCAGAAGCTGAGAGCCTGAGTGGTGGGATGGAGGCTTCCATGGGGAGAGGAGCACAGAGCTATGGGGCTGGCCACACCATCACCCCACATCCATGCTGCTGCAGCGAGACAGAGGCACCCAATGCCCCCCACCTGCCCCATGCACATGTGTCCAGGGTGGTGGGATGCTGGAGGAGATGGGGAGTGCGTGGATGCCCATGGCACGGGCCATTTGGGCACTCTCTGGCTTCCCCCCAGGTTTACTTCTTACAACCACACATCTGATTTTGGGTGCAACACCCACCATGCTGCATCCCCCTCCCTTTCTGGTGACCCTCCAGTGGGGAATCAGGACCAGTATCCCACCTCCTGCAAGATGAAGCCGGAGGCTCCCAAAATCCACCTTGCCCTCTGGGTACTGGGGAGGGACTCAGGATGCCACTGCTCAGCCCCAGGCTGTTCTTCACCCAGCACAGAAACCCTGGCTGGCTGCAGATGGAGAGGCTGACCTGCTTCCACCCCCACGCCCCCCGAAAATAGTCCCCACAGGATTACCCCAGAGGGGCTGAAGCAGTAGCCTTGGTGCCCCAGTGTGAGTCAAATGCCAGCCCCAGCTGTCAAATGCACCAGCTGTCAAATGCACCCTGAGTGCTGGCTGCCAGCACTGCAGGAGCCAAGTGCCGCAGGGCTCAGGTGGGGTTGCGAGCCATTTTACAGATGGGGAAACTGAGACACAGCACAGCTGCACAAACTTGCCAAGCACCTCCTGAGACGTGACCGTCTCTGAGGCCGGGCCAGGCATGGGAGATGGGGGGTCTCCCGTTACCATGACGGTTTTACAGCTCATGAGAGAACATGAGAACCTGCCAGAACCAAAGTTTTGTCCCCTAAACCCCAGGCAAGGAGGCAGAGAGAGATGAGCAGAAGCAGACTTCTTCCCCAGAGGCAGCAGGGGTGTGCCTTCAAAACAGCGGTCCAGTGCAGTTCATAGATAAAAGAGGTAATTCCCGCGACTCTGCCTGTGCAGGCAGCATTCCATCCTGCCCTCTGAACCTGTCCCTTGCTAGGAACCGGGGCTGGCTGCCCCTGTCCCCGCTGCTCTCACCTGGCCAACCATGCTCCTCCACCACCTGCATCCAGCCCCAGGGGAGGACTTTGGGAGTGAGACCCTGGACCATCTTCAGGTCCCACTCATCCTCTGGCTTCTCATCTATCAGATCATAAAATATGTCCCTCCAGGTGTCCATCCACAGTGGGTCCATCTCTCCTAGGGGCTGGGCTTGCTGTCCGGGCACAGGAGAGCAAGTGCCTGGGGGTGCCCAGCTGCCCCTGCTGCCTGCCCTGGGCAGAAGCCCTCGGCTAGGCTGGGCTGGCAGGGAGCCAAAGCCTGAGCACAAGAATTGAAACTGAAGGGAGTTTTGCCCACAGTGGCCACACGGTTCTTCTCCAGCTCCTGCGTGCCTTTTTCTACCTGCCATGAGCAGCAAGGGGCAATGGGTCCCTGGCCCTGCCTATGCACTCCTCACAGGGCATCACCCACCAGAGATGGAGCAGGGGGACAGTCTTGCCTAACACAATAACTCAGGCAAACCCAACACACAAAGAAAAAGAAACAAAAAGAAGCGTTTCAGCAACAAGGTTACCCTGGGGGCTCCCCGCCACAGGCAAGGCTCTGAACTTCAGGCCACAGGGAGAACATACCAGAGGAGTCCCAATCTCTGCTGCCTCACTTCTGATTTTCCCCACCACTTGTTCACCCCAGGACCCCAGGGCAGATGGACCTTGGTAAACATGGTTGTATTTGGGCCTTATGATGTGCAGGCTATTTCAAAAACTTTTGCAAGCATTTACAGACCAATTTTGGCTTGGTTTTCTGGGCCAAAGTCATACCCGCATGACATGCTGTCCCCATGGGTAAGTTCTGCAGGAGACCAGCAGCTCTCCTGCAGGGAAAGTAAGAGGCTGAGGGGTGTCAGGCTGCAGGGGAACAACAGTTTTTCCTCCCAACTTTATGATGTCCACCATGTCCCCTGAGCCCTGCAGGGCGAAGTAGCAGCAAGCAGCAGTCAGCATTCTCCTGTCTGCCCAGACCCTGTGGCCCAATAAGTGCAATTTCCCTGTGATTGACCTAACAGGGCAAAGACTTGGGAATTGCTGCTGCACCCTTCTTGCACTTGCCAACTTTGGGCACCCTTTTGCCCCCACTGCAGGGTGCTCAGCTAGGCAGGAGGGGTTTGTGTTTGCAAGGATGGTTTTCAGAGCAGTAGTCATAGAATCATAGAATGGCTTGGGTTGGAAGGGACCTTAAAGATCATCTAGTTCCAATCCCCCTGCCATGGGCAGGGACATCTTTCACTAGATCAGGTTGCTCAAAGCCCCATCCACCCTGACCTTGAACACTTCTGGGGAGCAGGCATTCACAGCTTCCCTGGGCAACCTGTTCCAGTGACTCACCACCCTCACAGTAAAGAATTTCTTCCTAATATCTAATCTAAATCTACCCTCTTTCAGTTTAAAATCATTACCACTCGTTCTATCACTGCACCCCCTGGTAAAGAGTCCCCTTGCAAAAGCTCAGCACCCAGATGTTTCTGGAGGACAAAGCAATCTCCAGGCCCCTGGTGACACAAGAGACATCCACCAGTGCATGGGGCCAGGGCAGATGCTGCTTGCTGTACACAGCTCGTAGGAGGTAGTGCCAGCCTCCACAGGCACTGACTCCCTGTGACTTTGCTGCAAACCTCCAGCTCTAGGTGCCCCTCAGCTGCTTTGGGTGCCCAGTTCCACCAAGGCCAAAGGCAGGAGAACATCGAGATGTGTCTCCCTGCAAGCTGAGCCCAGCTGGTGGATAAAGGCAGCCCCCAGCTTCCCTCCAAGCTGCTCACACGTGCCTAGAAAAGGCTTTGGAAAGATTAAAAAGCACAAATGCATCCTTGGGCTGAGGAGAAAAGGCTTGTTTTATTCTTGCAAGTACACTCATCCTTTGCATGGGGCAGCTGAGGGTCACCTTCACACAGAATATGTCCCAAAAGAAACCATCAGACCCGCCAGGCTCGCTGAGGCTGTGGGACGAGGTGCCTGGCTGAGGTACCCCAATGTATCCCTAACCCCCCCACAAGCCAGGAGAACCTCGCCATGCCACGAGTGAAGGCTGACCTTGAGCACCCAATTTTCCAGGCGCTCCATCAGCCCCACCAGCCATTACCACTGTTCCTCTTTGCAAGCCCCAGCTCCCACTAAATCTGGATGAAATAAAGCAGGACGAAGAGGAGCACTGCCAAAACACAGAGCAAAAAGCTGCTGATGCAGCAGCAGCGTTTCCAGGGGAAGTTGCTATTGGTGGGTGAGGGGTGGTGGGTTCGGGTTGCATAGGGACTCACACCCCGGCTTTTCAGGGTGCGATGGATCCTGGCCTTGTCTGCATCCATCGAGGGCTCCCGGGCATCCACCACCGGGGCCAGCCTCGGCTCACTGCAGATGCCGAGCTGGCAGCCCTCACAGCGCGTGCTGGCATGTCATGCGGCCCCGCCACTGGTGCATCCACCACAACTTCCAGGAGGTTGGCGGGCTGGATGGGCAGGTGGTAGAAGTACTTGAGGATCTTTAGCACCAGGTTGTGCAGAAGCCTCTCCATGGTCTCCTTGCTGAATTCCGGCTCCTCCAGCTGGGGGTCGGGACACCGCCTGCATGCCTGGCGAAAGGCTCGCATCAATACCATGCCCTGGCCCCTGTGCCGGTGCATGTGGAACAGGATGTGTGCTTTAGCCGAGGACCACTCATGAAAGCACTGGGAGCACCGAAACCTGCCAGGACATGGAGGAGACCAGCTCATCCCGGGCTCCTCATGCTGAGCCGGCGGCTTCCCATGCAGTCAGTAGGGACCAGGGCATCCAGGGCAGATGGATTAACTTCACCCATGCAAGCTTTACACTGAACTGTCCTCCCCCTAACAGCATGACACCTGTCTGGGGAGTTCAACACAGATGTGAGCTCAGGATTGGCCCCAACATTAAAGATTTTAGGAACCAGGCTGCCTGCTGGGACTGCCCCTTTCCTAGCCCATCCCAGCCCCGCTGCCAGGAGCAGGGGTCCTTGGGGTGGGAAGCATCAGGCCCCTGGTCTATTTGGGGCTCCAGCCCCTCACCTGTGCTGGCTCATCACAGCTCAGCGGAAAGCCAACATCAAGCCCAGGGCCGGGGAAGTCAAAAAAAAGAAGAAAAATAGAAGGAAGGTGTGGGTGGAGGCTGCAGGGCAGGTGAGGAGTCGAAAGGTGTGTAACCCGCAGCTCTTCATCTTGCACAATCTGCCTGGGGGCTGGCAGCCAAGGTCTCCATTTGCTGCCACCCAGGCAGGGTTTCTGGTTGATACCCAGGGTCCTGCCCGGGGTGGAAATTGTTGGGATGGGGCCTCTCATCAGCAATGCAGAGCCACAGCCTCTCTCTGCTCCAGGACCCCACAGCCTGGTGCAGATGCAGGTACTGCTGAGGCATCACCCCATGTCCCAGCAGACAGCAGCTCTCCCTCTCCTCATCCTCTGGGTGCAAACCCAGAAGATTTGGCTCTAGTGTGGTATAACTGCCCCGGCTCACTGGAGGAGCTCTTTGTATCTTGATGCCAACATGGAGAAACTCTGGCTAAATACCAGCTGCCCTTTGGCCCTGTGGAGCTGCTGCACTCCCCTCCCTTCCAATTATCGTGATTTTTTTCCAGTTCGGCAATAACCCACCAAGTTTGGAACAAAATGGGAAAACCCCTCCTAGTCTCACTGACCTCCAAACTGCCCCTTTCATGTCAAAAGCTGTTTCCTACAAGCAAACTTTGAGAAAGGGAATAGTCCACATGGCGGCCCATCATCCCTGGTCCCACTCCAATAGGGACCGAGCCAGTAGCCCCCTACCTCCCAAGTGCACGGCGCTGCACAAACTCCTTCCAGCCAGGCTTGAGGACATGCACCTGCAGGCTATCATCCTCCTGAAGCGTCCACGGCTCTGTTAAGTGCATATCTGCAATCTTCGCTGCAAAAAGGTCCTGCCAGGTTCCCATGGTCCCACCTGGAGCTGGGGAAGAGGCAGTGACCAGGGTCAGGCTTGCTGCTTCTAGGTGCTAATACATGTGTGCAACTTTCTTCTCCCCATTTTTTTCCTCTTTGCACAATGTCTTTGTGTTTCAAGAGAGGAACCTTTGCTCCCATGTGAGCAACACCGCCCCACCCTGATCCCTGTGTCAACAGGCTCTGCTGACGCTGCTCTAGGTCCTGGCCAGGTGAAATGTCCCTCAAAGCAAGGACAAAGTGGGTTTCCCCAAGCCCCACACACGAACCCCCGACCCTGCTGAAGCCATGCTCTCATGATGCTGCTCTGTCCATAGGCAGAGAGGTTGGAAAAGCAACCCCCTGCCAGGCTGCCCATCACTGTCACGGCAGCAGGAGCAAACTGGCAGAGATCGTGCCCAGCATAGGAATAACAGAAGTGAAACCCACCAAAAATGCAGGACTCAGCAGCTGATAAAGCACCAGGTAGCCTTATCTCTCTCGATAGCTGCCACCAAGCACGGGCTGTTTTTAACAACTTTCAGCCAACTCGAGCAGAAAAAGGCCTGATGTGAAACCGCAGGGTGGAAAGTCGGGGAGGACGGCCCTGAACGTAAAACCGAAAGAGGGGAGGTGTGCTTTGAGCTGAGAGCACCCAGGGAAGGTACAAACAGCGGGGCCAGGCTGCCTGCAGCCCTCTGCCCCCCAGCTCACCCCTCTCCATGTGCACAGGTCCCCCAGGACATCCCATGGAGAGCGATGCAGGACAGGGAGCAGGTTAGATACGATGCCAAATGATAACTGGTCTTGAGTTAGAGGAAGATCTGCAGCTTGATAAAGCAAGCTCAGCTTGCCATGGAAATAAAACTATCTATCTTGTTTAGCATGAAGCTTTCAGAGGAGACCATCCTGTGCACAGAGAGGGTAAAAAAGCACCCCAAAATGCCTGGCCTTGGAGCAAATGTGCTGGGTGGCTGCTGAGGATGAAGCCACCATGGAAAGTTATGGCAGCTCCTCATGTTGAGTGCCCAGAGCAGCATGCAGGCTCCCAGAAGCAGGGAGGGTTAAACACAAAGACTGTAGGATATTAAAACCTGCAGTAAGACAGACCTCTGTTTAAAAACAGGGCAGAATGATCTAGTAATCAGGCTTAAAATACTTCACGTTAAGTTTCAAATTAAGTATGTCCTCATGGCAGCTCTTCTGGCTTGACACCCCAAGAGCCTGGGTGCCCCAGGCAGCAGTGCCAGCAGCTGGCCCTGCCCTGGAGCCAGCTGGAGCAGCAGGATTGCTGAGGATGTGGGTGATGGCACCCGTAGCCTCGCAAGAGGGGCACAGTGGCTGCTGGCAGTAGGTGGCAGCGGCTGTGAGGTCTTAAGAGGCACCAGCACATCAGGCTCATCCTCCAGATCCCAAAAGGGAGGCAGGTGTCATACATAGATAAGTCCCAGTAACCACAGGTTGGCAGGAAGCCTCTGATCTGTGCTGCTGGAAGGGAAAAGCCAGCGAGTCATTTGTACCAAAAGCCCTCCAGCATCTTCACAATGTGCGCTGCCCCTCCTGCGAGAGTGGAGGGAGGTGACGAGGTCCTGGGGCAAAGCTCATCTTCAGTTTTGAGGTTCTTCCCTGCTTGGAGATCCTTCCATCCTTAATTATGCCTTGATGCTATAATCTGGAGCAGGACTAGAAGGAAGGAAAGGAGGTTTCCTCGAACCAGAGGAGCCAAGCCAAGGTTTTCAGGATCCTTATGGAAAGCTAGCAAAGCCCTAACCTGTGGATAGGACCTCAGTCACCCCCTTTGCAAGAGCCCTGCTGTGGGGACATGGGGTCCCTCTTGGGTTGGGGCAGTGCCCTACAAGCAGGACAGTGAAGGAAGGGTCATCCCACCAGCATTTCCAATGCTCAGTGGGGAACGGGGGACATCCCTGGCTCAGGTCTGGTGCATGGGGAGGAAGAGAGGGAGCAGCAGATCTCCCTGGCCCCCCTCCTACTCCTTTACCAGAGCACGGGGCTCCCATTTCTATAGGTTCACTATAGAAGACCTCTTGGTACACCCTGCCACAGAGGGGTCTCCTGGGCAGCCAATCTCTTAGCGCAGAAAGGTGACACTGTGTGGCACTGCTGGCACCGCTGTGCCACAGCATGGTGTGGGGAGCCATCAGCAGCAGGGTGACCGGGACAGGACCACCTGCCCTGTGGCAACTGCTCATGCCCTTGGACCTCTCTGTGTTAGGGGCTGAGATTTACCCAGTGGTGGTTGAATGCAGGAAAAACCTAAAGGTTTTGACATCTCCCCTTTACTTCAGGGGCGGCAGCACCTGTGTTAAACATCTTGAGCTGCTTTGAGGAGGAGGAGCCCCCCAGGGAGGCAGCCCTCTCTCCTGACACTCTCATATTCACCCAAATAGACCGATCACTTCATCTGGGGGATCTGTGGTTTCAGCCCAGCCCTTCCTCCCTGAGGCTGCTGCCGTGGGGCAGAGGGATGCTCCCACCAGGACAGACACTGCTCCCCATGCTGCCCACCACGGCGGGCAAAAAGCTGCCATTTAGGCACGCAGCTCAGTGGGAGTCCAGTGGCACCCCTGGCACGGGGACAGGCCCCTGCCTCCAAAACCCAGCTGTGATGGAAACCGGCCCCCTGTTACGTCATGGCAACACAACTCAAATCACAACTCACGATGCGCCAAGCCCTCGGAGTCGTCTCTGAGACGGAGCCCGGCACTGGTCCCTCTATTAAAGCCCTTGACTTGCTTTTACTAAAGGGACTTTCCCAGAACCACCCACAGAGCTGAAACTGCTTTGACGTCCTGTTCCACTTTGCGCACACCTCCCGGCGCTGCCCAAGCACCTTGCCGCTTACCGGCACCTGCCTGGAAACAAAAGCTCCTGCAGGTCCCCCTGCAGCCCGGCCCCAGCAGGCACCAGGGACGAGCCCTGTCCCAGCCCTGGCACGACCCCACTGGGCTGGAGAGTCCCTGCTGGGAACGGACCCTGCCAATCTTCTTCATCCCAGTGTGCTGGTCATGGATCCTCCACGGGATGCGTGAAGGAGGGAAATACAAGGCACAGCCCAGGCGGTTATTTCCCTGCCACTTTCACACAGCCTGAAATTGTTTTTTACTTCAGCTCCCACCCCCACATGAGCCACCCAGGCAAGAGGAGGAAGGTTTCCCAAGGCTTTCTATCCTCCTCTCCATCTCTCGCTGTGTGTCAGCCTCCGCGTCTCCTGCACCTCCAGCCCAGGGACAAAGTGTCCACACTGTCCTGCTTGGCCCACGCGCATCCCATCCCTGCTGGGACATCCATCCCTTCCCTTTGGGGTCACCCCATGCTCAGGTGGGTCCACCCTGCCAGCAGTCCCCAGGAGGGGCAGAAAGGGACATTCAAGCCCAGTCCCCAGGCAGGACTGCAGAGCAGGACATCTCCTCAGCAGCAGGGATGCTGTGTCTGTGGGCATGGCAAGGCTTGCAAGACAGATGGACTGCCATCTGAGCAACAGGGCATAACACTAAACACTCCTCTGTCACTGCTTGCTTCACACCAGGGCTTTTTTCCCACTCTGAAGGCTTCCCTCATCTTCTCCTGCACTAAACATGACCAATTCTTTTCCATCAGTCATTCTTTCAGGGCATTTTTGCTCTTTTCTCTGGGTCATCAGGGTGAATTTGATTTCTAACCCTCCTCCCAGACAGCACCTACACCCTCCCTCAATAGCATATTGCCTTCATTTGAGCCATGCTTCCCCCAGAAAAACCCTGCTTAATGTGTCTGCCATCACAAGCTATTGATAGCTGCTGATGGGATATAGCTTCTTGGGTAGCCGTCCACCCACAGTGGTAGAATTTTCCATTTCCCTAATTTGCTTATGAGAATGTCACGTAAGGCAGCATGAAGATAGCATCACTCCTGCTTTCTCTGCAGTACCCAGCCCATCACCCTAATGAAGAGAAAATGAGGTTGGTTTGACACAACGTGTTCCTGCTAAATCTGTGTTCTCAGCCCCAGCACTGCCCTCTTGGTGTTTACCGCTTGGTGGCCTTACTAATTTGTTCCAGCAGTTTTCTGGGTACGGAGGCAGGCTGACTCATCTAGAGTTTCAAGGATCCTCTTTTTTCCCCTTCCTTGAAGCAGACGGTGAACTGGGCATCCGTATCCTCCTGGGACATGGCTCCACGCCAGCTCTGTGAGCCCCTGTCCCCCTCCGACCTTGCTGCTGTTGATGGTGAACGCTTGTCACCCCATCACGGTGAAACCCACCACCTCTAGGGACAAGCAATGGCTGTAGGATCCCTTTCAGGCCGGACTGTCTTCATAGTCAAGCCCTTGGAGTAGAGGGGTCCGCCTGTCCCAGGGTGGATTTGAGGCAAAGGGGATCCTCTGGAAATGGGGATATGCCCAAGCTGGACTGTAGAGAGGGGATGTTGCCCCATCATCCCATGGACTTCTGGGATGGAGAGGGATGATGAGCAATGGGGAGAGATTAAAGCAAGAAGGTGTCTGTGAAGATGCAGGCAGGTACCACCCCAAATGGGTTTGGGCTCCCTGTTTATTTAGCGGGCCTCGTGGTGGTCCCTGCAGGCATAAGGAGAGAGCTTGGCCCCCTTTGACAAGGCTCTGCCCCAGTGCCACGGGCAGTGGGTTTGGTCTTGGGGGTGGTGGAGAGGGCAGGCCCAGGACTCCTGCCTGGCTGGGGGGCACAGGCTGCCCCGCTCACCCACCAAGCCCCCGCATGCCAGGATCCAGCCTGCCGGCATCCTCCTTGAGCAGCACATCCCGCCAAAGGGAGGAAGAGAGAGAAGGAGAAACCTTGGAGCCGACTCAAAGCAAAACTAGAGAAAGCAAAATGAGGGCGGTGGGAGGAAACGCAGATGTTCTGCAAGCCTACAGCAGGCTCAGCAACAGGCAGGGCGAGGCTCTCGGTGGAACGGGACGGAGGAGATGCTGTGGGCCTGGACCCCTCAGGACAAATCAGGGCTGTGCATGTTGTCCATGGTTAGGAGTCCAGGGAACC